CTCCAAAAGGCAGACAAGGGTGAGCAGAGGAAGAGAAGTGGATATTGGATTGGATGGTGGCCTCCACTCAATAAGCATAAGGCCTCCAAATGCTTGGGACAACAGGGTCCTCCATTCCTACCTCAGACTGGCACAGAACTACCTCTTACAGGCAGTCAGAGCTCCTGCACACACACCAGCATGCACTGCATGAAATGCAGCACACAGAGGAGGAAAAGCCAACAGGGCAATGGCAGGCAGTGCCAGCCTTCACTCTCCCTTCCCCTACCTGCTCCTGAGGACTGCAGCCTGTGGGAAGGAATAAGGAAAACAGGGGCAGATGCTCCGCCACTGGCTAAAGTGCTAGGGGAAAACATGAGCACAGAGAGAAAGCTGAGCCTAAGGTATTGGGAGAACCACCAGAGAGCAGGTGGGATTTGGGGAAGAGACCAAGGAGCGCACCTTGAGGAAACAGCCTGAGAGCTAGTGCAGAGCGGAGGCTGAGTGTGCAGGTGGCACCTGAGGAGAGACAAGGGGAGTGCAGAAGCTTGATGTCAACTAAGCAGGATTAACTGGGATTCTTTAGGGAGCACAGGTGCAGACTGACCCCAGCACTAGGTAACGCTGACCTCAGTGGTGCCAGGTAGAGGGTCCAAGTGGATGATGTACTACTGCTCAAGTCCTGGTGGGAAAGTGTCAAATGTAAATTTTTCTATTAACTATATTGAGTTTAAACATTTGAACTATTTCTAAAGTTTACAAAAAATGTGTGCAATAGAGCAGAGACTGGACTTTGGCATCCTTCTATGCACCTTCCTGTCTTATGTGGTGAAGTGTTAAGAAAGGCACTTGGCCTGACCCTGGCCTTTGTCTTTCCAGTTGGGGAAGGTGTGTGGAAGTGGTCTCTAGGAGCCATTGACAGCAAAGGCTGGAGTCTTACAATGACTTTGCCTCTATTCCTCTGGACACAGAAGAGGACTTGAGGCTGATGGCTTCTACCTCCTGTCATCCCAAAGAAAGGAGATGCCTAACTAGCACTACAGGCTTCTTTACAATTATTGCCACTAAAATTGCTGGCATAGCTTGAATAAAATTTATAGATACTTGACCTCCAATCTAGCACTCGATATTCAGGTTTTATAAGTAAATGCTCAAAAAACACTCTAAAGTTGAGAATATCTCTAGCCTTAACTAATACTCCCAAAGAAATCTGTCATCGAACACACTGCAGTTCCTCTCACCGGTTCCTAGTTAGAGGCTCCACCTGCACATGCAGGCTGGGAAACTTTTCAAGTATAGCTCTGAAAACTCTTCATAAAACCCAGTGTTTTGGTGAATTGCCTGTGCAACCAGGAGCTGGTCTGGTTGATGCATCAAGCCACAACAGTGAGGCTTGAGCAGGATCTCCCTCCTTCCAGAGCTGGCCCAGCCTTCCCATGATGTTGGAGCAGCAAATAAATCTTTGCTTTGAACTCTGTAAGCCTGGGCAGTGAAACACCACTTTAGGGAATCTTGAGGTGTGAAAGTGCCAAGAGAAATGCTCATTTGGAGGTTGACTCCTGTTGATAGGGAGAATTCCATGCTCTTCATGGATTTACTAGTTCAAAGCTTTGAATTTGAATCCTAGCTGCACAGAGATAGACGAGATGGGCAAGAACTCATAAGCCCCAACTATGCTGTTTTGCTCACAAACTTCATCCTGTTTACCTCAAAGAAGAGCTTTTCATAGTGAATCGCTTTGATGTTTAAAACCTAAAAAATAAATGCTCATTGTTAGAGATCAGACCCCCTCTGGGCTGATTTACCCATTGAGTTCTGTTCCATCTATTTCTGCTAGTTTGTCTTAATTTCCCTTTTTTCTTATATTTCTAATCAAATCCTTCACCCTACTCCAGAGAACAGTACAACTGCACAGCAGTCACTCGGGTTCATGATATCATGACCCTGCTGGACAAGAAAAGGGCTTGTGGACACACAAAGAAGGACCCGGCAGTGATTATTAAAACAAATTAAAATGTTTTTCTTACTTCCTCTTGTCTGTGTCTTCATCACTTCTTCCTGAGGAATTGCTCATGCAAGTTTCAATGGTGGACAGAGACTTCAACAAAATCCAATCTAGTTGATTAGTTCCCTTCAGTACAATTGGTAATCATTCGTTTACATTTTTGAGGATGAGTAAGTAAAGAAATACTTTCAAGTGATTCAGGAAGACATAATATTTTTCTTTTTTAAGATAGCATCTCACCATGTTGTCCAGGTTGACCTCAAACTCTCCATGCCCCTGTCTAGTACTCCTGAGGAGCTGGAATTATAGATGTGCACCACTGTGCCTGGCAGAAATTCATTTTATAGATTAGATTTGAGATGGTTCCATCATTCTCAGTCACCTATCTCTGAAGATCCCCCCCACACACACAAACCCACACATTGATAAGGAATGAAGATAAAGATTTTGGCAAATAAACACTCATGTTGTAATATTATAGATTTGTCAAAGAGAAGCCACGCAATGAGCATGCCACAAGAGTCCAAGGTTGTTAGACTCAGGCAGAAGGTACAGCATATAAGGCCCCAGTCCTGCCTTGGAGAATGAGGAGACCAGCACAGTCGCCCTTTCAGCTGCCCTTTACACTACAACAGGTTAGAACTTTCCATGTTTTTCTCAACTACTCTTCATGTTGCGAGGAATGGTGGGTGGAGAGCAGATGTGAATGTGGGATTTTCACCATGATAGATGGAAGAAATCAAAAGTGTTATTATATAATGATATGTTTTATTATGGTGGTTGGGGACCACAGTGTTTGACTCATATCCCACTCTAAGGCAAAGTATAGTGGGTCATAAAAATCCTCTTCATTCTACCAGGATCCTGTCCTATACCCTCAAGGAAGAAATACTGGAGAATCTCCACAGACAGATCTGGCTGAGTTTCTTCCTCATTCTTTCAGCATGGGCCAATCTTTTTCTGTTCATCATATGGACACATGATTTTCCAAATACCAATCATAGCTATGCAGTGAAGTCCCCTTAATACAGCAAAAGGCCAAGGTTCAGACAGCTTCATGATGGATAAACCCAGGAGGTTCTGAGAGGGTGGCTGTGTCCTTCCCAAATGCTTTGCCATATTAGTCTCTTCATCTGTCTCCATTGTTGTAAACATCCTACAGAGTAAACTGGTGAAGGATTTTGGGGATTCTCACCCTAAAAACAAACACCTCAAAATGCTGGCTATCTATACAAATTGAGACATAAAAGCAGAAAGTGCCAGAACACGCTGCCCCTGATTTCTCCTTGCTGCTTCAAGTCTGGAACCCCAGGAAGGAAAAGATTCCCTCTTTTTCCTTCACTGAAATTTAATTAACTAGACTCATATCACAGGAAGACTCAAGTCTGTCAACACATCTGCCCAGACTTGTTTATACCCTAGTCCTCTATTTAATCCCATAGAGAATGATTTACAAGTCATTGTTCATACTAGGGGCCAAGTACACTTTGCCCCAAGCACATAGAATTTCCCTGAAAATTATCAACTAGCTACCCCAAAATTGTCTACATTCCCCATTTTGCACCTCTCTTGTAGAAAAAGGGGTTTATCAATTTTTGAATAATATTGGAATAGTGGGAAATCGCACTCCTCTAAAATACATGAATTTTTTATGCCTTTATGATTCATCTTTGTTACTTTATTCCAGGGAAGCTTCAGAAATCAGATAGGAAATTTCCCATCCTCTTCCACCAGAAAATCAGATGTTTCCCTGGGATTTTTGATTAACTTAAACAAATGAACCAGATCCCGTCTAAGCTAGTTGATCAGAAGGCCCAGGTCTGTCAACCTGAGACTTCCAACTGGCTTCAAAAGGGTGAATGGGCATTTTTGGTGAGTGAAGTAGAATTTGCTAGCATGGCTCTGGATAACAAAAATTTATTATGTGGGAAGGCCAATGACAAAACAGTGAGGGATGGGGATACTTTTGTCCCTGGGTTGCCACTTGGCCACCCATGGTCTGAAGGAGCAGCTGTGTTTGCAACCATTTATTGAGGATAAAAGTTACCCTGGAATTTGGAGATGGAAATAACACCTGGGGAGTTTCTCCCTTGGATGCACATGGTCCTGCATTTAATCAGAAAACAGTAACATTTCCAGTCCCTTGGCCATTGTTAGCCAGGATGCCTAAAGTGAAAATGGAAGAGAGCCTGAGTCTGACTGAGGTTAGACCAAGCTCAGAATTCAGTCTGCCTGAACTCAGACCACCAGCCTCAGTGACCTCCTGGGAAAAGCTGCTGGAATAACAGAGAGCACCTCTAGGACTTGGGCACCAGCGGGCCACCCATGTGAGGAAGGACAGTACCAACATTCTATGGAAATCAGAGGGTTTGGTTTGAAGAAAGTTTCATTTACTTTCTTCAAATGGATGGTGAGAGTAACATCCTTAGGAGCAGTGTGTTTAAGTGCTACAGAGTGGAACAGCATGTTTGGGTTGATGCAGGATACACAGCTCCAGATGGAACCATCTCAGATGGCTTTTCCTGATGGAGACCCACACTAGGTTATCCCAAGGGAACAGCTGTTCAAGGGAACTATACAAAGCCACTGTACAATGGCTTTCATGCTGAGAACCGGACTTGCCACATCCCCACAAATGCTGACTGGAGCAGCCCATGTGAAGCAGCTTTAATGCCTCCTATGCACGTGTGTGGAGCTAGATTCAATACGACTGGGATATTCACCTGTCTGTCAAGCGCGTCCCCCATGTCATGGTAGATGCTCTGGTTAATGGGGACCCTTCTTCTTGGGCACCCTGTGCAACTGTACCTCTGAGAAAACATTTCAAGTTGGGTGTCTCAGCTTCGCCTTATATGCTCTTACAGATGCCAACATAAACAATAGGCTAATTAAGAGGAAAGTGGTGAAAATGAAGGTAGAATTACAGGATTTAACCTAGGGAAGGTGGACATTTTTCAAAAGGTTTTTGAGAATTAAGATGGATGTAGAAAGTGTTAAAGCAAAACTCTTGAGGCCCAGGCATGCGTGCATAAAGGGGCTTATAGAGCCATTCCATACAAATGCTAGTCAGGAGAAGAAGGAACAGGTCCTGGGCAGGTCCCTTAGCTACCAACATCAAAAAACTACAGAATGGAAATGTCTGCCACACCAGAGCTAAGAGCTTTGTATGAATTTGGGGGAAGGAAAGTGCTGTGACCTCTACTGGCAATAGGTCAGCAGGAAAATGCTGAGGGGGAACTTTTTGAATAGGAGAATAATCTTAAGAAGTACTTGCTTCTCGAGTGTTCTGGGTGC